GACGAGCGGGTCCTAGGAACCAACCGCGCGGGAATGGCAATAACGTTTCGCCCAGGACTCCGATTCGGCAATATGTCCCCATTTCTGAAAGCTCTTTCCTAGCCGGACGGGGCGCCGATGCACCTCAGACCCATCGGCCAGGCTTGCGCAGTCAAAAAAACCATTTTCGATCACCTTAGCCCGCCGGAATGAAGAGGCTTCAAAATCACCATTTCATCGGAGTCTACTTAAGTATTATTTAACAACATAATATTTTTTTGTAGCTCTTCTTCATATCCTATGAACCACTGGCAGTGTTGGCTCGCATCACATCAGGCGAAGAAATCTTCATCGTGGGACCCGTGAAGGCGACGAACGGGTCCTAGGACCCGACAGTGCAGGAATGGCAATAACTTTTCTCTTAGGACTATGATTCCGCACTATGTCCCCATTCTGGAAAGCTCTTTCCGAGCCAGACGGGGCATCATTGCGCCTGAGGAACATCGGCCGGGCTCGCGCAGTCAAAAAATGCATTTTGGATCACCTTCGGTCTGCCGGAATGAAGATGCCACAAAATCACCATTTCATCAGAGTCTACTTAAGTATTATTTGAGAACATAATATTATGGGTGCGATCATACCAAAACCAGTGCACCAGATCCCCTCAGAATTCTACAATTAAGCGTGCTTAGGCGAGAGTAGTATTGGGATGGGTGACCTCTTGGGAAGTCCTCGTATTGTACCCCTTTTTCAACCAACCTACAGTTTTTTTTCGTAGCTCTTCGCCACAGAATACGAACAACTGGCAGTGTTGGCTCGCCTTGCATCGAGTGAAGTAATCCTTATCATGGGACCCGTGAAGGCGAGGGACGGGTCCTAGGACCTGACCACGTGGGAATGGCAATAACTTTTCGCCCAGGACTCCTTTTCGGCACTATGTCCCCATTCCGGATAGCTCTTTCTGAGCCGGAAGGAGCGCCGAAGCGCCTCAAGCCCATCGGTTGGACTCACACAGTTAAAAAATGCATTTTCGATCAGCTTTGGCCCGCCGGAAAAAAGAGGCCCCAAAATCACCATTTCATCGGAGTCTACTTAAGTATTATTTGAGAGCATAATATTTCGGGTGCGACCATACAAGCGCCAGAGTACCGGATCCCATTAGAACTCTACAGTTAAGCGTGCTAGGGCGAGAGTAGTACTGGGATGGGTGACCTCCTAGGAAGTCCTCGTGTTGCACCCCTTTTTCAACCAACCTACTCTCTTTTTTTTTTCATCTCTTCTT